AAATATATATATATATATATATATATATATATATATATATATATATATACACTTTTTTTTTGCTGACATTTCTTCTAACCTTTCGCTCTGTGCCAGACACTGTCTTGAGTGCTTTACATGATATTTATTTAATCCTCACAACAACGCTATAGATACTCTTATTGTGTCTAATTCATCCATTAGGAGACTAGACATTCTCCGGTAATCAAGTGTTGGGTAATCAGAAAATTTTAGATGGCAGGGCCCATGGAAATCATTTAAGCTGGGAGGCAGTGCATCATGGTGGCTAAGGGGGCAAGCTCTGTAGCCGACGTGTGTGGCTTTCAAAGTTCGATGTCATTAGGAATACGCCTTGATCAAAATGGCTCAACCTTTGTTTGCCTTGATTTTTCTCCACTGTAAAATGGGATGGTAACAGAATCTGTATTATAAGGTTGTTCAATGCGCGGTGCTTGGATGAGTGCTTGTCACTTAGGAAGATCTCAGAAAATGGTACAGCTTATGAGGATAAGGATGGATGGCAATAGTGACTGGACATGTAGACACTATTGTTTTTCTTAGGAGAATGTGTTCCAGTGGTTTTTAAGAGAACTTCTGTTGGGTCAGATGAACGTGGTGGCCGTAGTGATGGTCTTGATGGAAAGAAAGGAGTTTTCATCATCAGTGGTAAAGAATAGTTTCTTAGAGAAAGAAATGATTTAGGTTGAAGAAACAGAGCCAAGAGGGGACTGTTCGCCCAGAAAAATGCATGCTCAATTTTAATTCAGCAAAAAATTCACAGAAACATGGTGTCCACGAGCTGCATAGGTGCGTGTATTTTTCAGGTTGTCTTCAAAGCTTTAAAATGTCTATAGCATGTAAGAGAAAAAGTCATGGGCAGGAGTTATATTTAGACGTTTCACATCAGGCAAGTTAATGAGCAGTTATTAGCAAAACTGACCTATGGTCCTCGCCCTGTGCACTTGAGGCCTCCCCTGGTGGAGTCACAGGTAGATCTGGGCTCCGTGGGGTTCATCAGAATGCAGATTTCCAGTGAAGGCACTGCTAAATCGCCAGCGTTTGTGAGGAGGAGGGAAAGCAGATGAGAGGGACAGCAGTAACACATGCAGAAACAGGGTCCACATTTGAGTGCTCAGATGGAGGTATTCTGGCTTCTCCAGATCATCGTAAACGCATATGGAATGTTTGTGCTAAATTGTACCTTGGAGATGGTTTGGTACAACCCCCTCACTTTACATTTTACTTTTCTGGGAGAGTAGAGTCTGGTAAAATTTGGCCAGGATTGCAGTACAGTGAAACCAGGGAAGTCTGTAGTGTTTAAAGAGGGGTTTTAAGTAGGGATGAAAGGAAAGAGGAAGTTCCTTCCGTTTTAAAATGCCGCCTAGGCAGGAAAGTGGAGGAAAGGCAATGGATTTTCTCCAATGAACTAAAAGAGGGAGGGGAAGAAGGAGGGGGGAGGGGAAAAGAGAGAGAAAAAAATCTGATTTTAGGCAAAACAGTTTTCGATAGAATTCATAGTTCATGTTTAAAAGTTGATGATAAGAAAGACTCCCTTTATTATTTCGAGGAATTTGGTTTCTTTAGATGGAAAGGAAGATTGGGGGACAGTCCAGTGGCGTTGATTCCAGCCAACGAAGAAAGCGTTTGTAGCTGGTCTTGGACCTGGCAAGCGGCTTATTGTTCATCTGTTGCTGTTTCGGATGGATACGTCTTGGCGGTCTAAATAATCACTTTTAGCCAAGTTTATGTTTAGTTCTTCCTTTTAAGTCACAGAGTGTCTCAATAGGTACTAATGAGTCAGCTTAATTTGGCAGGGAGTTCTAAGCAGAGGAGGGGCCAGAAATCCTCTTTTGGGACACTGAAAATACTCCACTCAGTTCCTTTACAGTTCCCCGGCCAGGGCTGGGTTGAGGGAGTCTTTCTGAAGATTTAAAGACTCCCCATGGTGCTTGCTCCTCTGTTACAATGGCTTGGGGTTGCTGAATGAGGACGTGAGTGGAAGTCTACTCTAGTTGTCTGTTTACATGGAGAAAAAGAAGCCAACGGCACCGAGGGTGAAGCAAAAAATAGGATTCTTATGGCTGTGTACCTACTTGTACTATTCTTTAGAAAAGGCCTTTATCTACTATGTCAGTGTTTTAGAAAGAGGTTTTGACCCTGGCTTTTTTTTTAATTAAAAAAGAAAAACATCGCCCTGATTTCTTCCCATATTACTGTCTGCATCGTTGTAAGGTTTGGGGCTACTGGTGGCTCTTCATATTAGACCCCTCAAGCTAGTGGTGCAATCTACCTCCACTGCTGGAAGAAAGGCTTTGGGAAAGTGAGTGGAGCTGAGGGAGGAAGGACGTCTTAGTAAGTCTCACTCTCTTCTTTTTGCCTCTTGATTCTGCCTCCCGGGTTGCATCCCCTTCAGCGGCTGCCTATTGTGCTGGCAGGAGGCATCATGTTAGAGACGAAGAAACTGAGGCGCAGTGTGGTTATACTCCCTTGGGAGCACTGAGAAGGAAACGTGAGAGGCAGACCTCAAGGTCTGAGTCTGGTGGAGACAGGCCTCGCTGCTTCTGCCCTAGAAATTTGTTGGGCCTGCGGGTGGCCAACTCTTCTCCCCTTAGAGGAAGTTTCTGCTTTGCACTTGCAAAATTGTACCACAAAGGTCACATCCTTTGGGAGAAAACTGCTTAGGCAATCAAAGGTCGCCAACAGTGACATAAGGGAAAGGGATTTTCTAATGTCGGTGCATATGGATTTAATGGGTTCCGTGTTGCTCAGAAGTATGCGTGAGGCATGGTGTCTGTGGTTGGTATTCCTTCCTGTGGTTCTAACTCAGCCGTGCACTTCACTTAATGTATCTGTATGAGAGCCCTAGGTGGGATGCTCTGGTAACATCAAGAACTCGCTAGGGTCTGGCAGAGGAAGGGCCACAAGTCCCTAGCGGGGAGTGAAAACTGGTTATGTTTGGAGTATGGAGAGGTAACCTTAGCTAGACGGTGATTATGTGTCCTCCAATGCCATGGAAAAGAATGTTAGGCAAATTTGTTGCTCTGTTAAAAGACTCAGTGGGGAAAGATGGAATCATATGGAGGGAAAAATTAGAAAATAAGTCTGGGGAAAAAAATGGAGGGATGAAAACTGCACAATTAATACAATCACCCCCCTACCCCACCCCAAGAGTCTGAGGCAGTAGAACCTTATGGGAAATTAAGGGGACAGGTAAGGAATCTGAAAATATTCTGAACAGAAAATAATTTTTCTTTGAAGAGAAGGCATGTGAGTTAATGATTGTAAACCTGCATTAAAATGGAGAGAAAAATATGGGCAGAAAGAGAAAAGAGGGAGAAGCAGGAAAACTTGTTTTTAAAAATTCCGACTAAATCATACTGTCTTGGTATTTAGTATTTTCACCTCAGAGTATGCCATGTTTTAAATATTTCTTTTGGGGGTAATTGATTTAAAAATAAAAAGACCTTTCAAAAGTTAGAAATTTTAGGGTTTGGATTTTTTATTTCACATGTTTATTTGAATTTTAGAAAATAGAGACTATGTATAAAACGGGCATTATCATGTATTAGGAAACATCTTAAAATAGATAGGGATAGTTAATGACAAATATACTGAAAGTATCAAAACTTTTGAGTCATAAATAAGACTCCTGAAATATGTCAATGGCAGAATAAAATGTAGAAAACTAAGTTTATAAGAAACTACTATATGTGATACAACTTAAAAACAGGATTTTAAAATTACAGCATTAATTTAACTAAATTGCTACATAAAATTAGGACTCCAAAAATGTAAATATGTGCTCATTATGACTTTTCACAGAGAAGCGATGCTAATAATTTACGTGTGGTTTTTCTTTTTTCATTTCTGTAGAAAAATTTCAAAAATTTCATCTCCTGAAGAAACTTGAAGTTTTTTGGGGGGAGTCTTTTGAAGGTGAAACTTTTCTTCTTTAGGTAAGGAATTGTTTTCTATTGCTTATTCATGGGTTCAAAGAGAACATTTCAATTAGAGGAAAGAAATAACAGGACTGAAATTTTGCTCATCCAAATTGATGTAAACATTATAAAGATGATAGAAAGCAGGATTTTTTAAAGTTAAAAAAACAAATTAGTTAGAAAGTTTTCATTTTAAAAAAAACATCAATTTATTAGGGCAAAAATGAGACAGTCTCTTTTTTGCATTTTCTTATAGACTGACCTGATAATAGGATTCCCATGATCCATTTTAAAAAAATATTTAAGACATAACCAAATTAAAATAAAAGTTATGCTTCTAGTGAAAAGTTTTTTAAACTGTCTAGCAAAATCAGTAACAAGAGATTTTTCAGACATGTAAAATATTTCTAAGCATAAATATAAACTGATGTGGTAATAAACAATAAACTCTTTTGATGAATTTGAAAGACTGGTCATTGCTTTTAAAAGCAGGCCAGTGGCTTAAAGTTAAAAAAGATTTTTGTGCAGTAACAGAAAAGCTTAAACTCTGGGATAGTTTCATATGCTGGGAAAATATTGTTCTGTAGAGTCAGAATGTAAATATAAACAATTTGTTTAATCAGGCAAGAATCTGCACTTTGTGTAAGGCCTCTTTTCAGGTTTTAGTAATTGTGTTATACTGGTAATGTAAGAAAAGACAGATTGCTATTTTAAGCATATTAGAATATGTGCAACTCATTCTATTTTTGGCAATAATTCTATCAGTACAGTTTATTTGCATGAACAGTATAAATTACATACATGAAAATCAGATGTTTTAAAGTAGGTAAACAAAAATACAGTTAAAATGTCTAAAAAAATTTTTAAATGCTTTGAAGTATTGAGTGATATTAAAACAATAAAAGTAAACAATTTACAGAAATTATGCATAGAATCTGTTGTAAATATGCAGATTTGTACATAGCTTTGTCACCACTACCACATTTAGAAAAAGAAATATATTGCAATGTTTGTCTTTTATTAACATATATATACTCTCAAAAGTACACAATATTTCTCGTTTTTAAATATGTTAGTACTGTTACAAATACGTATTTTTAAGATTTTAATATAATGTTTAGGGTTTTAAAAAATACATGTTTAAAATTCATGTGGTAAAACAGAACCTAAATATTTTGGGAAAAGAATACTAAAATTTTTTTTACAAATTTGAGGAATTCATTTCTAGAATAAGTTAGTTTTCTTCTTATAAAGACACATATTAAGTATATAGGTTAAGACTTACTTAAATTACTTAATTGGGATATACTAGACTTCTAAGTTATTTTTAAAAGCAAGACTATGGTTATCTGAAAAAGTTATAAAATTATTTCTAGCGTAATTTGACATAAAGCCCTTTAGTATATTAGTTTTTTAATCTTATATTTTGACGGTTAAAATAAAAGAAAAAAAAGACTAACTTCCCAAAGAAAAATATAGTCTCATGGCACTGAGAAGACAATTGTAAGCACATAATAAATAGTAGATCCATTTTATTTCTGACTTGTTTTTGAGCCTTTCTTATGAAGCATCATATATTTTAACATCAGGAGAATAATATTTAAAATATATATTAAATTTGTATGGTCTTCTAGCTATTAAAAATAGAAAGAAAGAATGCAACTTTATCTAGCTAAATACTAACTAAAGTGTTAAGTGAAAATTAGAAAAATACAGAAACTAAAATAGAATAATAACCTACAATTCCAAATAGATATGTCTATATAGTTTTTTTTTATATCTTGGCATATAACGTTTTTCTTAATTATTTAGGAAACTACCTATTGTACATGAATTTTAAAAAATGCTAGAGAAGTATTTTCTCAGCGTAGTTGACTAGATTAAAAATTTACTAATAAGGTAAATGTAATATTAAGGGACACATTTAAAATATAATTTTATTGAGTTTTACTGAAGATGTATCTTTCTAGCAAAGCTTTGGGGTTTTGTGTGTGTGTTGGGATTTGTGTTTTGTGATTTGAAATCCATGGTCTGTTTCGAGTGCCTTTTCACATGGCAAAATGTTTCTGTAGAAAAATCAGACATTATGTCCATTTTATTTTATATTTGGGAATGAGAAAAAAACAGCAGATACTTGGATAGAATTCTAGCTGTTGTTTTCGTGCACGCATCAAATACCAAACAATTATTTTGTCTCTCAGTCAGTCACATGTCTGGGCGTGTTACATCTTGTGCGTGTACATCCTTAACATTTAGCTTACATTAATGATACAGTGATGCCTAAATGTGATTGCTAATCTTTCCTGAAATTATGGGCAAAGTATCTCAAAGAGATGCGTTCTAAAACTCTTATTTTTAATGAAAACGAGGAAGACTTAGGGGAAGTTCATTCGTGACTAAAACAAGCCATTGTGCAGGTTCCTGAAATAACGACCCTTTGGCTTATTTTGCAAATTTTATTAAAAACGTCTCTTAACTTGTTGTTTGTTGGCATTTTAAAGTCAGAGAGGAATCGGCAGTATTTTATGCTATTTCTGATTATTTTTCTGTCCAGAGAGAGAGAGAGAGAGAGAGAGAGAGAGAGAGAGAGAGAGAAAGTAAAGCAGTTGGGCACAATCGGGTTTTCCCCTTAAAAAAACTGAACTTGAAACTGCGAACACGCAAGGCCCGTGCTTCACTGTCCTCCTTCGGACGTATTTGGGTTGCGAGAATGATCTCCGAGCCGGTCCGCCGGAGGGACAGGCGCCTCCGCAATGGAGAGCTGCGGGACGGACAGCGCGGGCAGCGGCGGGACAGCCCCAGCCCCTCTCCCTCGCGGGTGCCCGGACGCAGAAGGCGATCTTCAGGCGAAGCGGGGCCGAGGCCACGACTCTCCGGGCCGTCGCCCCCGGGGAAACCGCGGGCGACGAGGCGGGCGCGGGGCGAGGGGCGGGGCCGCGAGCGGGGGCCGGCGGG